GTGAAGCATATTGCTGCACATCCATAATGCCAACAAATTGGAAATAACCTTGTTTAAAAATTCTTCCTCAAAACTGATGCTCTGCTATTTCTATTTTCTATATAAACATGTGGGTAAAGTAGACAAAAGGGAAAATTCCCAATCTGTGATAGAAATGAAAGAAAAGGAACAGGACGAGCACTTAGCCAACACCCTCTTTGGTCTGGCTCTTTCAAACCACGTGTCTCGCTCAGCCTCACAACCACGTCCTGATCATGGTGTGTGTAATTGTTCTTGTCATACATGGGAGGAAATGGAGATTCAGTTCCAGTTGCGATCAGAAAGTCAAATTGAGAATAAGAGGCCACACAGGGCCTGCACCAACCCTGGATGTTTGTGACACTGTGCTGTGATGCATATACCATGTACTCATGGCTCGGGGGCTATCACCACATCACTCATGAGAAGAAGCTCAGCTGTCTTTAAAGATCTACCTTAGCATTGATGAGAGTTCAGTAAACATCATTTACGTGGTCATGATGTGGGTTACGTACAAAGCGACGGTGTAGATTATGCATCTGAACTGAGCCACACATTCTTCTCAGGATGTCATAGATGACTACATTAAAATATCCACAGGGTTATTAAACACCCAGAATCAATTACTCCACGTGTCTTACTGAGTTGTTTTCTTTGGCCCTCTGTGAGAAAGAGAGAAAATGAATTATCATCTCTTCCCAGTTAAGTAGATAAAAGGGAGAATCCATTTTCCTCAGCCTCTTCAACACCTAGCTCCTCTGAGAAATCCACCTTAATGAGTAACCCTAATAATTGAATCTTCTATCATGTGCTTGCTCAAATACTTAATGTACCATGAGACTTTGCACGGTAATTGATGTCTGGTCACTTTGGGTTCTGTAAATGTGTTTGGAACATAATGTATACTACTCAGTGAACTGGCTAATAAGCTTCTGCCAAGCAGCAATCGGCTCCTCAGTGTCTGCACTGGGGACTGAACGGGGGAGGAGTAGGAGGAGAGAAGGCAGTCAGGGCGACAGCAAAACCACAGAGCAATAAGCAAGGCAGAGTGCAGACTTCAGCAAGGGCAGTCAAAGAGAATGGTTTCATGAGCCCAAAGAAGATTCTCGAATAAGAGGAGGGTGGACTACTGCAGTGTTTGAGTGGTGTGGGACCGACAGAAAAGACTTGTTTCCAAGGAAGTGATTGATTATAACCTCATGAGGATGGCGAGCCCACATGACAGGCTGTAGGGGTTGGTGGATGAATTGGGGATGAGAGCAGAGGCAGAAAGGGAATGCTGGTCTTTTAGAAGCTTGATGACAAAGGAGAAAAGAAGCTGGACTGGGGGTCTGATGGGAGACACTTGGTCATTGTTGGAGACGGAGAGGAAGAAGGAGACAGATTGAAGATGAGCAGGAGGAGAGGTGGCATTGGTCAGTGCTGGTCGTGTGTGATCTGGATCAGACTGCAGTTGGAAACTTGGACTTAATTTTCGTTAGCTATGCGACCTTGGACAAGCCTCCATCTTGCTTTTGTTAGATGGGGATAATTTAGGGTTGTTGCAAAGTTTAAGTGCTATAATATTTTAAAATGTTGAGCCTAGTGACTGGCTCACGGTAAACATTCAATAGGTAACAGCTACTATGATGACTAGTGTTAGAAAACTCCTAAGTTGAAGTCATAGGTGAAGGAATTGGTGCCCAAAGAACATAAATACCACTTTTTCTCCCCAAGGATAATGGGCTAGTGATGTTCTAATTCACACTGTAGGAGGCAGGCCGAATGAAAAACTATCAGATGGGTTCAAGTTTTCTTTTTCAAGGAAGTGATGGATGACAGCCTCATTAAAAAGGGAATTATATTATCTATTGAGAGTAAGAGCTTAATAATGTAAGTTTTGATCTGAAGTCCCTTTTTTTCATTTACACAGAAAATTATGAGCTAACAGTGAGTAAAATAATGGGTGGAGATTATTAATGACTCTTAAAAATGAAAGTCACCAATGTTATAATAGCTGGTCTCTACAGCTAGGTGATTTACCACCACGAGTGTGCAACTGTCTAACAGCAGAAATAATAAAACAGGCTCTTTAGAGTTGAGAATTGAAGAAGTTGCCATGATAAAAGTTGGCATGGACATGAGATCTGTGCAGCTCAGTGAGAGAAGGGTTGAGGTGGGGATCACACTAGATAAGAAAAGAAATGAATCTAGTAAGGGAACACAGATTCAACAATAAATTACGTTGAGGTTATAGAACTGATCAACAGCACCAGTTATGAATGGAGGAAGCTGAATCGGAGAAGGAGATTTCAGTAGTTCAGAATTCCAGTGGTATAGATACTGATGATCCCAGGCTTACTGCTCATGGTTAGTAAAGATAAGTTCATAAGAATGGTGTCATCTTTCGTAAATGCAGAACAGGAAATGCTGAGAATCAGGCCTCAGTCTTAATAAGGAGGAGGGTAGATATCAAGAGAATACTGACCACTCACCTTGCAAGTCTACTACATCAACCTGAAGATTCTTATGTGGAAGGTATGGAGTCCCGAGACAGCAAGAGGATAGTTGAGCCAACACTCTTAAAGACATTAATCGTCACATGGAGTTAAAGTGCTGTACCTTTCCTCATGAAGACCAGCAGCTGCGAGGTGGAGCAGCTGCACGGTGCTGTTGACCTGCCTTTGATCCCTGTGTTCGAGCATGGAGCACTGGGTCAGGGGTACACACACTTGGGCAGCCTACAGGAAATGCAAACAAATGCCTAGACCGTGTGCTGATTTCTTCCTGGATGTCAGAGGGAGTGAGCATTGATGGCAGCTCTAAGATCAGAAGCTACAGGAGGGCTGTAGTTTCTCCCATCACCCTCTTATAAGTTTCACCAGGAAAAGAGAACATTTGAGCTATTTCAAAATGGCGCACAGCTAGTACAGAAGATAACTGGATCCAAGTTCTGCAAAGGGTGGACTGCAGTGGGCCTGTGGCATGCTGCCCAGGTGGCCCCTTTATGAGGAGCTTGCCATCACCCCAGTGCCCAGAGGGACTGGCCAGTCAGCTGAGAGTCCAGGCCTCATCAGCTGTTTCCTCCAGCCACAGGGATTTGCCTTAGCAAAGGCCATATTCCCTTCTTGGGGGCAGCCCTGCAGGTCATGATCATTCAAGATGGAGTTCAGGGGACGCAGCCCACTTGCCTCCATCTGAGGCACAGAGGAAGTGCCATCTCAGCCCTAGGATTTCCTGTGTGATTTCCCAATTCTCCTATGGCTCCTATAACAGTTGTTTTCCTTTCTGCCCAATCTATTCCTTCACTCCTCAGAACTCTTATTCCTAAGAGCACGCTTCAGGAAGCACTGGCCCGTAAATCCTCTCTTTAATCTGTGCCCCGGCTGCCCAAAGCGAGACAATGCTGTGCAGAAAGCGACCGTGTGCGCCCTCGGGACATGGGACTTCCTGTTTCTCTTGTAGCTCCACGTTCCGACGTCCAGATCTGGTCATCAGTGTGCCTTTTCCATAAGATTTCATGAAATATCAGAGTATAAAGTTAAGATGTAGAGGAAATAGTAATGAAGTAAATTTACTTTGTATGGAAGTCACGCTTAATCAATTAAGGACTGTTAATGGGAAAGTCAGGAAGAGACCAACATTATGTAGCGTAGATCTGGGTGAGTAGAAGACGTTCTGTGAACATTCTGTGAGCTTGTGGCTACACACATTTTTTTTTAGTAGTATATTATAATTTTCTTTTTTTATTTTAAAGGGAGAAACCAATAAAAATGATACAAAATTTCTAAACAAGATAGTAGGAGAAAACAGTGGTTAGTACATTGGGTAATGCTATCTTCAAAGTAGTTGCTCAGATTATAAGATATAGCATGAAAAATTATCAAACAATATAAGCACGAACCTTTTTTTGAATGAACTAATAGAAATTAGTAATATAGCTACCTTAACTATCCTGTATATATGTATATATTTCCTTTCCCTTTTCCTTTCCTTCCTTTCTCCTTTCCCCTATCCCATTTTTTCTTTCCTTTTGAACAGTTTCTTCCCATTTCCCAATATCTACTGTACCTTTTGGATCTTATTTGCTCTTTCAGCTTTTTACACTAGGGAGACATATGATGTTTACACATGTAAGACTGATTTATTTCACTTATGAGTATGGTTTCAAGGTGCATCCATTTACTTATAAAAGTCTCAAGGTTGTCCTTCTTTATAACTGAGTAGTACTCCATTGTATAAAAATACCATCTTTTTTATTCATTTCTTGGTTTATAGGCATTTGAATTGCTTCCAAGATTTAGCTATTACAAATTGTGCTGCTATAAACATGGGTGCATATATATCTCTGTGGTATGATGTTTTTAATTCTTCTGGGAAAAAATGCTTCAAAGAATCAACAACTGAGATCTCATCTTATTGAAAAGCTTTTACACATCAAAAGAAACCACCAGCAGAGTGAAAAATACCACACAGAGTGGAAAAAAATTTTAGCCAACAGTCCCTCAGACAAAGAATTTATATCTAGAATATATAAAGAATTGAAAAAAATCAGTCTCCCCAAATTCAAAGACTCAATCCAAAAATGGGCACCTGAGATGAATACACACTCCTCAGATGAAGACATACAGATAGCAAATACATACATGAGAAAATGTTCAACATCACTGGTCATTTGAGAGATGCAAATTAAAACAACACTGAGATTCCATCTCACACCAGAAAGAATAGCTATCATCAAGATATCAACCAGTAACAAATGCTGGAGGGAAATGAGGAAAAAGTATACTCTAATATTCACACAACTGCTAATATCCAAGTTAGGCATAATATTCAGTACAAAGATGACTTTCCAGAAATTCACCCTTCTTTAGTTGTATGAATGGGACAAGTTATTTAATTCCTATGAAACTTTGTTTCTTCATCAATATGTTAAGGAAAATGCAGCTATATACATTGATTTATATTTTAAATATTTATTTTTAATTGATGCTGGGTAAATTTATTGCTGTTATTATAGATTTCTGTAAAGTTATTGACCATAACAATACAACTTTATTATTTTATAGTTCTGTAGGTATGATCCATAGAAGGAGGATCCCCACAGCCTTATTATCAAAACCTGTAACTGTATCACCTTTCCTGGCAAAAGGGACCTTGCAGATGTGATAAAGTTGATAATCGTAAGGTGAGATCATCTTTGAGTTTTTTGGGAGGACCCAGCGCATCACAGGTGTTAATGAGAAGGAGATGGTGGTGACAGCGGCAGAGATGGGACGATGAAAGCGGAGGTTGGAGTGGCAGCCTCTTGAAGCGAGGGAAAGATGAAGAAGCAGATTCTTCCCTAGGTTCTCCAGCAGGAAAACGTCTTGCTGTAGCTCCAATCCACATTCTAGTTCTGATGTCCAGAGCCGCAGGGCAGTGAACTTCAATTAGCCTGACTCCATGGTGCTCTGTTACTGCAGCAGCAGGAACCCAGACTCGTGGGTCCAGTGTGACTGGGCACTCCCAACCTGCCTTCTTTTCTGGAGATCCTGCTTTCTTGTCATTTCCAATCTCTAAAACTCACTTACATTCGCAGATCCACTCACACTCTGCCCTCTTCAAGTTCAAGTAATACTGCATCTTTCCCTAGCTGACTACAACCATGAAAAGTTCTCCAACTTTGAAGACTCATGTCATTAGATTAGAAGTGCATCCCCGTCCCCAGATCGTAACTTTATCCTGTCCTCAGAATTATTTTTTCCCTTTGGCATGTGTGAAACACATGCACAAGTTCAGGAGATAAGAATACAGACAGCTTTCGGGATGGAGTACGTTGTCTTGCCTGCTGAATCCACCTACCCTGCAAAGATTAATGCGGCAACATCAGTAAAATGCAAACACATAGCCTGATCAGTGAACATCAGTGGTGCTTTCCTCTCTGGAGATCAAGTTCATGTTTTAATTTCTCTTTATCTGTTTTGACATGTTCTAATTATCATGCCACATAAATTAAATATTATAGGGATTTGGTGGATGTTACTTTAACCTCATTCACTGAAGCTGATAATATGCTCCCTGACTTTCCAAGCCATCTGAACTGAACCAAATTACTGGAAACCTAGGAGAACTTCTGGGTTCAGGAATGACCTCATATCCACATATCTAGTTCCACATGAGAACTGAACAGTTATTTATGAAGTAAATGCTTGAATGAACCAGGCGCTCTCCTGGGTACTGGGAATGGGCAGCCCAGTGGTAGATAAAAAATCCCAGCCTTCACAGACACCCGGCTGAGTTCAGCCTTGAAGGCAGATTTTCACTCCCCACTCCAATTCCATGAGCCATCACCATGACAGATGCCATTATTTGCACACAGAGTGCCTTTCTGTCCTAGTATTGCATTAACTCTTGCTTCCTGCAGTGCTGTTCCTATTAAATATACTTTTATTCAAATTCTAGATCTGTGGGTTTTCACGAAGTTCATGTTTGTACTAAATCGTCAATTGTAAATGTCATTAAACATATATTCAATTAGAGAAATAACTAACTTGTTAGCCACCAGTTTTGGCAGTGTTCCAATTTTGCATTAGCTATTTTGAAGCCACATTTGTGATTATCAAGCTTTACATAGGGCTGTGGTCAGCAGAAACACTGCATTTAATCAATTGTGATTATAGATCAAAAGATGCACGGCCAAAACCTTTCATAAGTATAACAGAATAAAGAAAGCTTCGTTCTTATTCACTGGAGATAAGGTTCCCTTTGGAGAAGGCACTGCTCTTATTTAGTGGAACGAACACAGACGTGTGACTTTAGTACAGGGGCTTGGAAGAAGAACACCAGGACAATTAGACTAAAGGAGAGTTAACGAAGATACTGCAGCAAAGTTACCACTCGTCACACCAGCATTTGGGGTCTTGAGAATAGCGATGTAAGAAGAAAGAGAGAGATAAAAGCAAGCAAGACGAGAGAGTCTGAGAAGCAGGATGATTTGCAAATCATCTAGATCAACAAAGACATCAGATACCAGGTTCTGTGATGCTGCTTCCTGCCCTTCACTGATCCAGGCTTTCTGTGACGTGTAGCTTTTTCACACACAGAGAGTGAAAGCTGGTGAAGGTTGAAATCTTCGTCTTAGTTAATGCAGACCAGACAGAAAATACCAGTGAGGCCCGACCCTTGGCAGACCCAGGAAAGTGAGCAGAGGACATTCTAGAAGAGCACAGTCCTGTCCCCACCATCTCCTCCTCCAGGGCCGGCAGGGCCATGCAGACGGCGGGGCACTGAGCGTGACCTCAAGGTGCTCAGCAGCATTTTCCACGTGGGCAGATGCGTGACACTCAGTCTTGTGTCTTCACCTAAAGAAGCGGACTGGAGATCCGCCGGGTGGGCACACCACGGTGGGAGTCAGTGCTGAATGGTACTGCAGCAGTGGGAACCGCTGCTGTTCATGTTGATTCTGCCTCCTCTTCTTCCTTGTTTGTTTCTTTCAGCCCTAAAGGGCAGTGATCATCATAATAATTCTGTTAAAGATAATACAGATTTACGGGCATGCAGACAAAGAACTGAGGTGGGTGGAAGAATTGATCTTTTCCTGCCACACAGCTGAAATGCTCAGAGACAGCCCACCCTCCTGTTGGTCCATTCTTTCTCTTGTCCATTCCTCCACCTACTCTTCACTACCAATTATTCTTTTTAAAAGTGCTGCTCACATAGGCCTGTAAAAGTGCAGACTACAAAAGTTAGCTGACCCTCCCCATCCTGTCCCTTGGACCCTCCTCCCCTCACCCCCTCGCAGTTCCCTGCAGCTCTTCCAGCTCTTCTCGGGCAGCACCACTTCTTTCAGTCACCTTCTCTGTGTCTTTTCTCCTGTGCACGCCCCACCATCCCTGCTACCGGGTATTTTTATCTCTGTCCTCGTCCAGTGTCCTTGCATTGGTCCATCCCCAGAGATGCGACCGCCACAGGACGATGCCCATTTCCAGATCTGTGCCTTCCATTTCCAGTTTCAACTTGGCTTTGTCAACCACGGGCCAGAACCCGGCCTTACTGGGAATGCAGACACCTAAACACACGTTCAGAGTTGCATCTGCTGTCACTCCTCTCTCAGACTGGCTCTGCTCGGGTAGCTTACTCTCATTTAGTAAGATGTATTTGTCACTCCAGTAGAATCCAGCCTTCCACTTCCCTTTCCCTCTGTGTCCTACTCCTTTCACAAGCCTGTGACCTCCAAACTATTTTGATCATGTACCACCTGCTAGTGAAAAACACCAACCATGCACTCCAACATGGGTTCAGTTGGATATTTCTTGTGTATTATCAATCCATGTACTAAATATAGGGGAAATCTTTTAACTTTTTTTAGATAAGATTAGAAGTTCTAATACTTCCTTCAGCCTCTAGAGTGCCCTGCCACCCCTTTACTGAGGTCCCACATTATTAGGTCTTGCCGCTTCTGCATCCTAAAATTTTATTTAGTTGATCCTTCATTTCTTACCTCTTCCCACAGCCTTGGTTTGCAATCTCATAAGTTTTGCCTGCAAGGTTCTTGCAGCAAATGCTTCTCTTCATGGCTTCCTAGTTCTGCATTTGTGTTCCCCATATATATTTTATTTATTTTATTCAAACTGTACAACTTCCCCAACTGATACCCTTCATTGACCTTCCGCTGTCTGCTGGATAAAACTAAACTTCCATAGCCTACATCCTATGTAGCTGGCTATGTTACTGCTCCATTTTTCTCTATTCACTTTATACTTGAAGTAAATTATTGATGCTAATGTCCCTGCTTGCTGAATTAGGTGTTTTATGTAACTGAGAGAAGGGAACATTATGTCGCACTAGGAATTACCACTTAGCATCTATCTCTCTCCCGATATCCTACCACGTCTGCTTGATCCAAAGCCACCCTTGTCCTGGTGCATAGGTGGAGAGAGAGAGGGTGTCTTTATCTCACAGCAATAATTCTGGTCCCACATTCGACCACCTCATCTCCAGGCCGCAGTGGCTGAGGGCAGCAGAGGCTGAGGGGGAGCTCGTGGTGGGGAAGCAGAGCTGGAACAGCTCTTCTCTAGTACAGAGAGCAGTCTCTGCTAGGAGCGGGCCGATGGCCAGGGCATGACTCTGCATTTCCTGAAATGCTGAATGCCCACTGGGTCTGCTGCATTACTTCCTACACAGTTTCTACCTTTGTGTCACATAGTCCATTCTCAGTAGAAAGATCAGAGTGATCAGGTTACAGTGGAAGTCTGATCATGATACTTTCTCCAAACCCTACGATGGGAGGAGCATTTTAAAAAAATCAGTTTTATAATTTGCTATTGCTTGTACTGATGTACTTTTGAGACAGTGTTCTGTTCTGTAACTTAAAGAGAATTATCAAAGTGTTAAACAGCGAAGACATTTACAGCAGAAAGCTCAGCTCAGTGAAAGCTCTTGACTTGGAGTAAAACCCCAGATCCTTAAATGGCCTCCGCCATCAGCTCTCCAGCACCTCCTGGTTTCCTTCTGTACTGCCCTGTGCCTTGTTCTCTCTGGCCTGGACACCCTGCCAGCCCTGGAGTCTGTCATCCGCTCTCCAGCAAGGCCAGTGCATCGCCACTGCCTCTGCTGCAACACTGGTCTCTTAGGATTTATGTGGCTGTCCCCTTCCTTATCTTCTAGCGTTGGCGCAAATGTCACCTTCTTCCTGCAGTGTATTCTGACCACCTAATGAAAACTGCAGCCAGTGCAGGAGTATTGCACTTTCCAGTGCTCCCCACTCATCTAGAATAGCTGTGTGTCTCCCTCTTCCCCTTTCCCCGACCTTGGAATAAACCACCATATATATAAGAAAACTGCAGACAGTGCAACCAGACACCTAACTCCTTGATTCTTTTCCATATTTCCGTTGTCGCTGTTACGGTTTGGGTCTAGGTGTCCTCCCAAAGCTTCATGGGCTCCACCCAATCAGACAGTGGGTGGTGATGCTATCAGTGTGTGATTGGTCCCTAGCGCATGTGCTGTTGGGAGGTGAAGCCTGGTTGGAGGAGGTGGGTCACTGGGGGCGTGGTCTGTCTCCCTTTCTCCGCCCTCACATACTCTCTGCTTCCTGACTGCTGTGCCGTGAGCTGCTTCTCTTGCTCCATGCTGCCCCCGGCTTGGAGCCGGAGGACTATGGACCTCTACAAACTGTGAGCAAAAAGAAAACCCTTTCTCCTTAAGTTGTGAGTGCTGGGCATTGTGTGTTAGCCACCAGAAAGTATGGCATCCCACTACCATTTTCTACATTTCTTTTTAAAAACGGCACTTATTGCTTAATATGCTGTAACTTTTTCCTGTCTTAGGGTTTTGCTTATTGCCCATGTGCTCTCACTATAAGAGAGACACCATGAAATAAGATATACTTGTGTCTTCCACGGATGCATCTTAGGAGCCAAAGGGTGCTTAGCTCATATACAATCTCCACCAGTACGAGCTGAATGAAGTACTTGTTGAAACACTACATCTAATGCATTATTTTACAGTTGATTCACTTGTCTTCCACAGTAAATTGTAAAATCCATGCTACAGTCTTATTCATTTTTCAAAGCTATACTTATCGTGGGACAATTTAAAGACCATAAAACTCACTGTTTAAAAGTATACAGTGAGTGAAGTTTTTGCTTTGTTTTTATTTTTATTTTATTTTATTTTATGCAAGTGTTCTACCACTGAGCCACATCCCTAGTCCAACAGTGAATTTTGACAGGTGAGTATAGTCATGCAGCCATCACTATAATCAAGACAGAATACATCCATCACTACACAAATGGCATTTGGTTTGCAGCCGATTGCTTCTTTGGAGCCCCAAGCTCTGGCAAGCACTGCCATGTTTGTGACTTTTGTGTTTGCTTATTTTTAAAAATATCATATAAAAAGAACCATCTGGTATGCAGCTTTTCAAATTTGATTTCTTTCACTTCTTCAAGTTTGATTTCTTTCCATAATTGTTTTGAGATTTACCCATTTTATTGCATATTCCAATTGTTCAGACTTTTCGTTGATGCGGAAGTGGTATTCTATGGTGTTTCTGTACCACATGTGTTTATTCATTCACCAGTTAATGGATACTCCAATCTTTACAACATTTGAATATTATAAATAAATATGTTATGGACGTAGAATTCTTTGTATGGGTGTAAGTTTTATTTCTCTTGGATAATTAGAAGCAGGATTTCTGAGACATAATGTAAATACATTATTAACATTATATGAAAATGCCAAACTGTTCTCCAATGTAGTTATACATGCTGCAAGCAATATATGAGTGTCAGCTATGTTGCATTCTGGCCAGCACTTAGTAACATTAGTCTCTTTAATTGTAGCACTTGTAGTGATGTGAACTAAAATCTTATTGTGATTTTTAATTATCACTTCCCTGGTGACTAATGACATTATACATTCTTATATACATATTTATTAAAACTCACACATATTCTGTTTTTTCTTTTGAAATGTTTTTTCATTGCAGTGTTGGGGACTGTATCACTACTTTGCAAATGCCCAACAAGTATTCTATCTCACAGTTACACCTTGAGCCCTCATACCTACTCTTTAGTGGATCACTTACATAAACCTTTTACATGTTTTTACTGGATTGCTTTCTTATTACTTAGTTGTAAGAATTTTACACATATTTTTGGAATGTGAGTCCTTAATCAAGTCAGTTTTGTCAGTATTTTCTTCACCGCTGTGGCCTATTGTCTCATCTTCTTACTAAGATTTTTTGAAGATGAGAGTTGCAAATTTTATAGCTAAATGTATCAGGAACTTCCATTTCTAGTTGGGAATTTTTGTCACAAATGCATTTTGAATGAAAATGTAACTCCCGTATCTATCAAAATGGTCTTATATTTTCACTTTTTTAGTATACTAACGTGGTGAGCTAAATTAATTATTATTTTAATGTTAAACCAAGCTGGTTTTCCCAGAGGAAGTTGACACTGTGATGTGTTACATTTTTTAGGAGTAGACTGCTGGATTTGACTGACTACTAATCATTTTCAAAGTATTTTTATATCTTTATTCATGGATATTTTTCTCTGTAGTTTTATTTTGTCGTAGTGCCTTTTTCTGATATCTGTGATAGATGTGTGTTGGCACAAAAATGAGTTGGCGAGTGTTCCTTATTTTCCAAGACATTGGATCTCAGATTAAAATTTTAGATAGATTTATAGATTCCCTACATCTTTGGTAGATTTCATTCTGTGAGGTAATGTTGGGCTGCGGTTTTCTTTGGAAAGATTTTAATTTCTTTAATAGATACAGAGCTATTATGATTATTATCCTTTCCTTCTGCAGGTTTGTTCATTGCATTTATCCTTTTGCACATCAGTCACATAGAAACTGCATGTTGGCGGCGTCAGTTGGCCCGCTGCATGTCAGCCTTTGTGGATTGCTTGGTTCTTTGGCCATATCTTTGCAAGGAGTGCTTTGCTGATATTTTGTCTCGTAATTTTTGTTGCGTATATTGCCTTGCAGTGGACATGCTTTCCCTCCTGTCAGCCTATTAGCCGGGAGTTAAAACAACCCCGGTAGTTTTGCTCGGTTTGCATTTTTTCATTGCTATAGTTTCTCATCTCAGAGATCTCCAGTTCCTACAGTAGAGAGCTACGGCTGTGTTCTTAGCACAAGTTCTGGGCGTGGGAGGTAGGGAAGGAGAGCTTGTTCTGAGTGTCCCCACTGTCCTCAGATCCATCACGTAGAGCAGCCTTTTCATGCTGCACGTGGACAGGCTTCTGTAAGTGCTTCTTTGCCTCCCCAGTGGCAGAGTGCCATGGTTTTTGACTTGCTTCAAGGACACTGGTGCAGATGCTGGGGAGCACCGCTGTTGTTCTTCTGCTGCAGGCTTAGGCTACTGTGTGTGCTTGTGCGTTCCTGACCCTTCTGCCTGTGTGAGCTCATCTCCACCTGTGTCTGCAGACTCATGGCTACAGTCAAGTTTCCTGCTTCCTTCTTTCTGCAGCAAACTTTGCTTTCTGCTCTCTTTGGATCAGGAGGGTGAGTGTGTTTCCTGACCTCCCTCCAGGGAGAGACATTTTTCCTTAGTTTCAGTGCAGGGTGCGGAGTGAATTTCCTACCCGCCTAGTGGCCCAGCCCTTTTCTTGCGGTTTGGGGCAGGAGTGCTTTTAGCCTTTTCCTAACAGCCTGCAGCATTTATTTCTAACCTTGCTACCAACATTCATTGGGTATAAGAGGGTCAGTGGCAAAGCTTTACTTTGTAAGAGAAAGAAGTCTAGGGCAACTGCTGGGCTTGTGCCAATGCCCTGTGACACAGATGATGGTCACAGCCATCGCCACACCCCTGAGCAAGGCTCTCTCATGTGATGTTAAATTGTCTGCTAATGTGTACAGATTCTCCTTGTGTCTGGAGCTCAAGAATTTAAGGATTTGAAATTGACATGCAACCCACATTAGCCTTTAAGATAGATTGGAAGTTCCTGTCTTCTGTGATGGTGAAGGTAGACTGTCCATTTGATTGGCTTGGGAGCTGTCCACAGTGGGGCGCACATGGAGGTGTGGCCGTGGGGTCAGTGTCTGGTCCCTGCCCCTTCCCCTCTGGCAATCTTCCCCTGCTGTGCTTCCTGGTGTGGTTATCTAAGCATCTGTGCTCTGACTTGCCCTTCTACCATGATGTCCCTGCCTTGGAGGTAGTCAACCGTGGGTTGAATCCCCTGAAGCCATGGACCAAACAAACTGGTCCTTCCTGAAGTTGTGGGTGTTGTACATTTGGTGCTAGTGACAATATAACTGTCCAGTGCACTTTCTTCCTTCGATAGTTGCCATTTCTCCTTTCTGTTCCCTGCCAAGGTCAAAGCATTTTATAGTTCCCAGTTTTCCTTGGAAAAGCTCATGTTTTGAAATTCTGTCTTCTTGGTGGTTTGAATAGGGCTGTCTGACAGGGTCAGATGAAATTATGACTTGGTGGATTCAATCTTCCTTCTGGATAGAATGCAGTGATGATCACTTGCATCTGTGCATATAATATGTGGAAGGAGAACTAATTCTTCATCTTTTTGTCTTAATTTGGGGCTCTTTCTTATCTATCTATCTATCTATATTTTTTTTTCTTTTGTGGTACCAGGAATTGAACTCAGGACCTTGTGCTTGCCAGGCAGGCACTTGTGCTGCTGAGCTATATCCCCAGACCCTGGGGCTCCTTATTATAAAGAACTTCTAAAGTTCTCTAAAATTTACTTAATCTGTATAGGCTTCGAGAAATACCTGGAGTCCTGGTCTTGGAGATGATTTCAGTTTAGAAATATACTTAGATGTTCTGTAGCAGAAAATGGCCTGCCAGCTACTATACTTCTGTCTCTTAGTTGTGCAGGTAGTGGTTCAGGTTACGGGTCCTTTTACTTCTGTTTCTTAGAGGCAGCTGTTCATTGGGATGTGTAGCTGGTCAGTATAGTGCATGTTGTAAGACCCAATCTCCAATTGACAAGCCATTCTGCCTCTGTACTTCCTGCTTGCTTATCCCATGTAAGCCCTAGACCTCTGGAGATCAGGGCTTGATATTCTGGGAATGATCCTGATCAGTGCCTCCAAATCCTCGGTGTCATTTCGGTGTTTCTACTTGCTGTTACAGTTCCAATTCCAGTGACCTCAAGCCCTGGCCCTCCAACAGTGTAAGACATTTCTGGAAGCCTTCAGAGCCTCTTCTGGGGTTACAAGATCCATACATCTGTCCCCACAGGCTGTGTGTGTGGGTCCTCTGCTTAGAGTTCTCCTGCGAGGTCTCACCTCGTGATCTCGGTCCCTCGGTTCTACCATGGACTGTGGCTCCAGCCTCAGCGAAGATTCCACCTCTCCATCCCACTCTCACACAGCACTTTCTGTGTCTGCACTCAGCGCTTTCCTGACTTTGCA